TATGATATATATATAAAATGTAACCAGTTAGAAACCCAGGACATACTTTATGCAACCTACAGTAATTCTCTGCTGAGCACTTTCCCAGTAGGAAATTAAAATTTGAGATAAAAATCTGTTCTACATCACCCCTTGCTACCCTTACCTAGCCCTAACCTCTCCCTAATCTCTTTAGCCCGATTTGTTCTTTTAAATGTTATCACTATTCGCAAAAAAAACAGATGTGCACAATTTTAAAAATGTTTTAATTAAATTTTTAGATAATGTTGCATATTTTGTGCCAGTATGTGCCCAAAGCAGGACAGATTGCAAAATCTAACAAATTGTAGTAAGACTAGTTGTTTAAACATTATCACTGAAAAAAGATTGTATATTTTCTTTTTTTTTTTTACTTCGTTTTCCAATAAAATATAAAAGAAAATGTAGTTAATTTTCAAAGGCAATACTTCCAAATGTGAACCTTATTTGCCTCCCCAAAAACTAAATCTGTCTTGAAGAGCTATGGGCACAACTACTTATTTGACACATTGGTTGTGTCAACATATCCCTCACTGGTAGCTGTAGTTCATTCTGCTGGCTGCTATTTCACTACAGGACACAGTAGTAAGGCAACGGCTGGAAGGAGAAACTCCAGCAGGGTGGGGGACCTGGATCCAACACCCCTGTGTTTCAGATAGCAGTGGATCCTCCAGCTCTTTAAGACAGTATGCCAGAAAGGAAAATATTCAACATGATGCTATTGAATACATCTTTTTATGCAGCAACAGGGTCACTATAAAAAAGAGAAAAAATATATAGCAGCACTTTCCATAATCATTTTCTGTAGTCTTTGCTTTTAATGGTTGGAGTTGCATAATACATTTGCTTTCTGATAGAGAATGTAAGTTGCTGTGGTCAGGTTGAAATGATCCAAATAAATAATATCGCGTGCAGGTGCCAGTAAAAATAGGAAGACCATAAAATTGAACCGTTCTTACCTCCTGTCGCCATTTGTGAGCATTTACAAATGCATTTGTCATTGTCTGCATCCTTTGTGCTAAAATCATTTCCTGGTTGGCTTATGCTGTTTATTTTGCCCGCTGTCCCAGTATATCCTTTGAGGTGAATCCTGTGGTAATTGAAAATGGAAAGAGAAGATGAGATGGAAGTAAAGTGTTTTGCCGGTTCACATAAGTGGAAATAATCTATCACCAAGTGCAAAGTAAAGGTTTCCGTGTCTGGATTTATATTCATTCTGTTTGTTCCTGTAATCCTGTTGCTATATTCATTCATGAAATGTTAGTCGGTTTGAGAGAGGAATGACATTCAACGTGGAAAAAAAATGTGTTCGGAATTGACAAAATAAATCTCTACTTGAATGCACTAATTTTTTGGATATACTCCTCACTTTTTTTTTATTTGGAGGTCAGCATTCATGTTAAATCATGCAGTACTTTGGCATGTCAGACCCATAATATGGCCAAAATAAGTGGGGGGGTTTTAATCCTAGGTTGGCTAAAGGTAGGTAAGTGTTGCATGGAGAATAGTGAGCTGTGGGACATCTGCCTATCCTCTTGAAAATCACACTGCCTCCATATCTCAGTATATTTTCTGATAGCTAATATTAAAAATGATCTACATATCAAATGCAGGCTCCAAAGAGCTTTATATAAATTGTCAGCATATGAAGGCATCTTGTGGATAGCTGACAATGTGAATACAATTTTCAGGAATCTTGACTTGACTGTATATGTCATTTCTTCTATTAACATTTTGTTCCAGTTTGGCATGACTAAGTTCTGCAGTCCTGTACCAGGGTGAATGTAAATCAGATTCCCATTTGTTAGCAGTTGTTTATCATAAGTTAGTTCTGATAGGTTGACGGGTGAATGCAGCTCAGTCATGTTAAATACCGCTTTCCTCTTCTCTACTTGGAAAAGGGAATGGTTAGTGCTGGGAGGGGACAGGTGTTGAAAATTACCACAAAGTATCAAAACTTTGCTTGTTATAGCTCCTGGAAATTAAGGGCAACTGTGTGTTAAACATTGCATGTGAATGTATATGCTGTTCTGGACCCTGTCAAGTACTTTTCTTGTACCAGCAGATTCACTTTACCTTTTACTTCCCTGAGATTTTATTCATAGAATAGGATCTAATATTGCACTAAACCTTATTTAAAACCCATTAAAGAGCTTTTTAGTGTTTTTAGAGATTATATTCTCAGGGTGGTAAATATAGTCTCTGTTCTATTGCGTGATGTTATCTTCTACCACTACTTAACCCCACAACCATAAGCATTTATCATTGCATTTCCCCTGACATAATTTAACCTTGCTTAAACTGATCACTGTAAAATTATTTTATAGTTGGTTTCAGATGTAATGTCTGTCTTGTAATAGATGCATTGTTCAACTCATTTGAAGGTTTTGGTATTAAAGAGGAAGTGCCGTCTTAGCAGCTTAATCTGAGGCATTTGGGCTGTGTTTGGTTTAACTCCTTCCTTTTATTAAGTGAAAGGCCTGGGCAGTTGCTGTGTGCATTGTTAGACCTTTGTTTTATAGCTGCTGAGTATAGTAATACCCCATCGATCAATATCAAAATTCAAGGCCCAATTAGGAGAAATTAGACACAGTTGGGATATGGTAAAATTATCTCAGGAAAATATCTTGATATGATCATTCGGTTCATTTAAACTGTGTTATAACAATCTTATGCTTGCTGTGGTTTTCAAGCTGAAGCAGATCATTGTCTCTCCTCTACTCTATTTTCATTCTCAAGGGTTTAGACAATTTTATCTTTACATATAGGCAATGTTTGTTTCTAAGGATGAATTCCTCTCTGAGTTTTCCCTACTAGTGTTCGTGGACATGTCTGATTGCAATATAGAAAGATGCATCTATTTTTAAACTCCACTTTTAAGATGTATCACATATCTGCTTACATTTCAAGAGGAAATGCCGTCTTAGCAGCTTAATCTGAGGCATTTATTTTGGCGCATTGCTATTGGATGATGGAAATGACCCATTAGTGTGCTTTGCTCCTAGAAGTATTTAAATGTCTTGCTTTATGAAAATATAATAATAAGTTATAACTTGAACCAAATGACAAAAATATTTAGTTTGGACTGAAGACAGTCAAATGTTACTGCCTTCCAAAGGGATAAACTGGATGAGCTGTAATCCTGCAAATTTGTGTCTTATGTCCGTTTTTAAGTAATTAGCCATGATGATAATTTATGTCTGGCTATATATTCTGTTTTAGCAGAACTGTAAATCATACATGTAAATATACACACTATGGTTAGGAAGATGGACAACAAATGTCCACTATATGTATGTTATCCTGTCTGTATGTTACATGTATTTTATTACATACCACATATGGCATAAAGCAAATTAATATATCTAGCTCAGCTATTTCTAGCTACCTAATTAAGTAAGAGACCATATTACATTTGTATTGCTATGGTTACTGGATTCGACCTGCTATTTTTAAATGCCCTTTTCTCCTGGGTTCTTGTGAGATTCCAGATGCTTGTTGCCTTCAACAATGGAATGAATACCGTCTAAAGGCTGGACCCCGCTTTAGAGGGACTGCAATCAGAAATCTTATCTTTTTGGGGGGGTTGCGGAAACAGGTCTAGTAGCATGAAAGGACGGGACTAGCATATACAGAATGGTGATTGGAAAGGAGAGAGGGTAAGGCCTGGTTCACACCTGTACGTTTTGTAGCGCGTTCAACGCTCTACAAACCGCTCAAACATGAAAATCCCATTGTTTTCTATGGGTATGGTTCACACCTTGGCGTATTTCAGCCCGTCTGAACGCGCTACAAAACGGCTACGCCTGGAAAGGTACATGAGCTTATTTGCAGCGTTTTTGTAGCGCGTTTCCATTGAGATACAGCCAAGTAGCCCTCGGAAACGTGCGTTTGTTGCGCGGTTTTTTTAACCGCGAATCGTGGGAAAAACGTGCGACAAACGCGCATATTCGATACGCCCAGGTGTGAACAGAGCCCAAGGAAGGCAGCCATGCCATGATAGAGGCCACCATTAGCTTTGTGAAAGAGACATACTGTGGTCAGGAAGTCCCCTCAAAAAAGTACATGCATAAATGAGGCTGCAACACTGGTGGACATGGAAGCAGGGACCAATTTGTTTTTCTGCACAGGGCTCTATGTAGTTGTCTGCAGCTGTCAACAGGCAGTCAGGCCATCATATTCTGCTGGTCAAGCAACCATAGAACAATTATGGTTCGATGTCTTTAGGTACATTTAGTTTAGTTGTTCAGTAATCAGTGCTGTCATTTTGTGATTTCTAAAAGTTGTCTAGGTCATATTGTGCAAATAACTTACTTATATTTCTGTGCTTCAGTTCCTAAGTAAAATTGGTCATATAGTGAATAAGCCTCATTTCCCTCCCAGTCTTTCAGCTGGATCTTTAGAACATATCGCTGCGGATTTGTAAGTTGGGCGACCAGTTCATTTCCCAACCAGTATTCTCCTGATGGATCACCAAACCCCTATAAAACAAAATGCATTTCATTTATAGAAAGGCTAGAAATCAAATCTAAAGTTTAAAATAAAATCTGTGTAAGATGAATTGCTATATTTCCTAAACAATTTGGACAACATTTAATTTAAAAAAAATTGTACTGTATGTGCAGGCACCCTGCAGTATCTGCTTCTAGCTTATTATATTATTTGTGAATTTATCTTAATGATATATTTACTTTAAAGTAGATTTTCTCTTTCAGTACATTGATTTGCTTTCAGTGGGTTTCTGCACTACAGTGGCATCACCCTGAAAAGATTGTGGAGCAATGTACACTCTGCAAACAGCTGAGGGTCCAAGTCCTTCTACCCTAGTTTTCTGGTTCCCATTTAAAAAAAAGAAAGGAAAATCAATTTTAAACTGCCTTGTAAATGTTCAGTTATTTGACAAGAAAAACAAGTGTGGACACTTGTGGGGCCAGTTATAAACCAACGATATTGCCGAACTGCAGCCATACCCTTGTTTAAAAAACACACACGTTTATTAAACACACCAATGTGCTTTATAAATGGGTTTTGCACTTTCCTCCCTGCTGTGTTATGACGGGATCAGTGGGACACTGCAAACTCCACATTATGGCCTGCATTTTATAAATGACTTGCAGAAATGCAGGCATAGTGCAGTGTCCAAGACAAAGCAGGTATTGATATCTACTCTCTATTATAAATGGGGGCCTTCGAATCAAATCAGTGCTTTGGACCTCTATGACCTAGTAGATACCTTTTTGTACTCTTTCCAGGTTCTGTGAAAGTCAACACTGCCATCAAAGCGTTTCTGAATTACAGTCCAGCCACCTCCTCCAGTTTTCATGTCACAGTATGTCTGCAAGGGAAATAATACATTTTACTTCTATATCACTTTTACATTTAAAGCCTAACTCTAGCCAAAACTTCTGTCACGTTTTTCTTGCAGTCTGAATTCCAGATAGATTTCCTCTCACTTCCATTCTCACTGAAACAGCCTGGTTCACACCTAGGCAACAGCGATTTTGCGCGTTTTAGCTGCACGTTTTTGAGCGTTTTTATGCGCATACGGCAAAAAGCAAATTTTTGTGAGCAGATTGTAGCTCATTGATGTTAATGAGAAAAGGTGCATAAAACGTGCATAAAATCTTGTGAAAACACCGCAAACGGGTGTTTTCAAGCATTTCTATCCAGTCTGTGGGGCCAAAACGAGCTGTACTTTTTCCAGCGACAGGCATTTTGCTTATTGCAACAAAACGCTCAGATGTGAACAGGGCCATGGAAATGAATACGATTTTTTGGAGGCAGATTTTTGGAGCGTTTTTTTAGGCCAGAAAACACACTACAAATCGCTCAGTGTGAACCAGGATTTATGGAGGGAAATCAGTCCGGAAACAGTTGTGAAAATAGGGTGGAACACTTATACGCCACTTATTTTAGTGATACCCTATATGGCTAGATGTTACCATGATAGAAACTCTCGAATATCTCCCGAACAAGGGCACTGTGTTTAAAAACCTGACAAAACTTTCAGCCTTTTCTCACTATGCCCTTAAAGTGTAAGCTGGAGTTGGTCAATAAGAAAACATTTTCAAAACAAAAATAGTAGAGCGTCTCACCATTTGTGGTATCAACACGTTTAATTAGTATAAGAATAATGGTTAAAAGCTACTCATAATTGTAGCAATGTATGCACTTAGTACAATCTCCATATCACGATGATAAAACAGGTGAACAAACAGAACAACACCCCTTGTGACAGAGAACGCCGACCGGGGATGCAGTAGATTACGCGTTTCAAGGGCACACCCCCTTCATCAGATCCTACATTACCGAACTAGCTCGGCTCTATAAGACTTGAAAAACTGCCAATCCAAAATCAGGGGTTGTTTTATTGCAATTGGTGGATGAGAGCACCAATCAGGGGCAGGAAATACCGATCTCCACCGCTCATTCTTTTTCCCCTCTTGGCTGCCGACACAGATTGTGAAGATTTAAACCAACACCACAATACACAGTCAGATGAGTACAAAAGGACACACAAGCTAGTTGGTATAATTCTACAGAAACATCACTTCTATCATTATATACACATATAAGAAGCTTCATAGGGAAAAAATAAAATACTTCTTAGTTATTACAAAAACAACATTTTATGGTCAATATCTTGATAAATTCACAAAATGAATTGTATTGATTAAAACTAATGGGAATATAATTGAAACGATCCTTCTAAGGCCAGAGGAAGTGTCTGATACCCATGATGAACTATGTTCTAAAAATGGACTAAAATCTTAATTATCTAATTATAATCTCTAAAAGACAAAAATAAAAAGGATAGCTGGAAAAACTAATTACATTTATTATAATGTACTCATCCTAAAGCTCCACACTGCATGATATACTGAGAATTGGGAACTGATCAAAGTCTGGCATATTTTATAGATCTTTTATAGATGTTAAAACAACTATAGGTTCTTATAAAGCTGCAGATATTTCTCAACTTTCATTTAGGCCATTAGGTGTCAGACTATTCAACTTGTATATCCAGAAACTTTCCCTGTCGCAAACTTTTTTTTAAACCTTACACCTTCATCTCCTGATGGTAGGAGTTATATAGGGAAGTATACTGACATACATACACACTACTTTAATGATACGGAAGTAACTGGAAAGGGTGGTTGGCATTGTAATGTTTAATCTCTTGACATTGAACTAGAATGAATATGGAAAAAATTGCTATTGATTTTTCTTGTCTACATAAAATACATGTTTTACCACGCCAACTGCAGTTCTGCTTACATTATCCTATGGAGTTAATCCTCATTCTCATTGCTTAGACCAGCAATGTTGCTGCTCCCCTGATGGTGGTTGAGTTTCACCAATGTTTTGTGTGGTAACTTGGTGGATTCCACTAGTGATAATGGGAGTTGGGTTTTGTTGATTCTGCATGTGGCATGTGACTCAATTGCCTATATGGCATGGCCCTTCAGCTTTGTTCACACACTTTTCAGCTTGTGTAAAAGCAGTGCACACAACCATTTTTTGCACATCTTTTGGCCTAGCTTTCTGCCATCTTTGTTGAAGCCTTTTAAGTACCATTCAGTTCCAGTTTGAGAGTCTTAAAGAACTCCAGGCATGTTTACAAGTAACCCTTTCAGTGGGGCTACTCCTGCACTGCAAGAGTTAGGTGCTTGTTTTGGTCTAGGGTCCAAAATAAAGAGGATACACTCATCTGATCCTTGGTCCTGCAATGGTGACCATGGTGGAATGTCTCATGGCATTCTCAACGTCCAATGTAATTCAATAGACATGATGACGACCCAAATCTTTTGTCCGCCAGAGCCCAGTGGATAAGTGTCTGTGGCGACCAGTTTACCAGACAGGAAAAATAGAGGATCAGGTGAGTATATCTTTTTTTAATTTTATTTTAGACACTAGACCAGGGGAGGCAACCTTGGCTCTCCAGCTGTGCTGAAACTACAAATCCCATCATGCTTCTGCCTCTGGGAGTCATGCTTGTGGATTGTAGTTTCAGCACAGCTGGAGAGCCAAGGTTGCCCTGCCCTAGACCAAAACAAGCACACCCCTTGCTGTGTGGGGGTAGCCCCACTACTACGGTTAATGTTTTTACATGTCTGGAGTTGTTCTTTAAATACAGATCCTAATGAGAATGCTGACTGTCACTTTAAACAGGCTGCTAGGAGGCTTTTGTAACCTTCAGCACTATATGAAGCTTGTTGAAAGCCTGCTAGCAACTTGTTTAAAGTGACAGTAAGTACTTTGATTTTGGGCTGTGTTTGACATTCCAAACAGTAAGAGTAGAGTAATTTAAAGACTTCAACAAATCTGCTTGAACCTTGCTGAAAACTTTGCAAATGCTTTGCAAAAGCTTGCTGTACACACTGCTCATATTTAAGATGAATCCCATGTAAACAGGGCCTAAGGTCTGTAGCGTTTTGGCTTATTTAATGGCTTCTTGGAAATTGCCACAGCTGTAATGTGTTAAATTTGTTTCATGCACAAATTGCTCTCTGTGCCAAATCTCTTACATTCTTTGCATAATACTCTTTCCTTTCCGGTCTAACACGGTAGTATTAAATGTATGTCCCTTGCATATTTTTTCATGAATCATTTCATGACCTATAATGTACACGGTAAAAGCACTCTACATTTTTACACAAATGTTGAATTCCTTTGTTGATGAAGTGAAGCGTTTCCCTGACTTATGCCCTGCAGTTTATGAGCTTTGCCTATGAGGAGGAAGCCAAACTAGCTGGTTAGGAAAAAACAAGAGTGAAACCTGGACAAAAAAATAAGGTATTTGTTTGGTAGCTTGTCACGGATGCAATCCGAACAGCATAAACAATGGAAAATGAAAACAGGATCTCCGTCTCCAAGTTTTTCTATATGAGCATGTTATGTTCCAGCACACAATACCATAGGATCTTGATAAAAGTATGTGCAATTTCATTTAAAAACAATCTTGTTTATGCATTTGTGAGGATTAAGTACCTAACATTTATTTTTGCAAGCAACTTTTGTCATTTGAACGCAAGGTTAGCCGGTAGCTGTAAAGGATCATAAATTTTATAAACAGTTAGTGTATTGCCACTATTGAAGTCGAATTTGAGAAAACCCCTCTCTATATGTTTGTGTACCTATTCACACAGCATACCTTTTAAATTAGAAAAAAATATATAAAGCTTTTTTGTTTTAGTTTTTTACCTTTTTAGATGTTTGTTTCAAGGAGACCGTTGCAGAATATTCTGAACAGCTTTAAAGTGTGTCTGTCCCCATAGAAAACTAGGGAGACAGTGGGGTTGATTTACTAAAGGCAAAATGGCTGTTCAGTTTGCAAGGGAAGTTTCTCCTCAGTTTTGGTAAATTAGGTGAAGCTCTTCTGACTTCCATCACCCAATCATGTGCAAGCAAAAATACTGTTTTGTTTTATGTTTTGTTTTTTCCTCACTTTTGAGTGGATATTGTTTGCAAAGTGAAATTTCACCAAGCTAAGGAAAACTTCCCCTGCACATTGAACAGCTTATTTGCCTTTAAGAAATCAACCCCAATGGGTTTGCCGTCATTAACCTACAATGTTTCTAGATCTTTACACCTTTGTTAGGAGAGACAGTGTTCAAATTTAGGTAGGATTCTTGTTTAAAAAGCACCTACAATGGACGCACGAATGTTTATTTTTTTAAAAATATAAGCTATTTGAATAAGATTGTGTAACAATTATAAAATAGGTGTTTTTCAAATCTGGCTGCAAAGGTGGAAATACATTTACAGATGACAGATATGTACATACTAATTGGGTCTGAACATGATGCTGATAAAAAAAAGATCTCAGTCCTCATAGTGACTTCTGTGGTTGTGTGAACCTACATAATGGCTTCTCAAGCTGACGGAGGGTCAACTAATCGGAAAATTCATTAATAACAATATTGAATGTGCTGGTTACTTCAATGGCTTTTTGGAGCAATTATACCTTTCTACTTTCCAAGACATTGGCTCAACCCCACTGTGCCGTGACAGAAGTAATGTGGCTTTATACCAAACAGGGCTGTCGCCCTTTATGTTCCGGGATCCTTCTTTCTATCGAAGGTTTATTGTGAACCGCTTCCTGGCTGTCTAGCTGGATTCTTTTTAGCAGTATGTTTGGGGAAGGGAGGGTGTCTGTGGGACAAATGAGCTGCATATATACACACTGGTAACATGATTAGATCATATTCACCAACAACCATAAGTTCTATGGCTTTCTTTATAAGGATAATTTACTAATTTTGATACAGTTTATATTTTGGTATTCCCGTTAACTCAATAGCCCACTACTGGAATTTCCCTTTAGTCATCTACTGATTTACTTTACTTGGCATGGTAAATATACACTCTAGCTTAATATTTAGAAAATTGTATAGACATGTATGGAATAATGAAACTACATACATGACTTTAGAATAATTCTGTGGCTCTCATTTCAAGCCAATCATCAAGTCATGTGCCATTCTCTTGTCAAACAGCAGTTTAATCATACCATGCAATGTGCATGTAGTTAATGCCTAAAAAGATAACATTCCTTTCTTTATGTCTTTTCTTTAGTGGCAGGAAGTGCTAGAAGACAGTCTGTTAATTATACAGTATTTTCTGTTTGTTTTAATTAGAATTCAGGGAGTTTTATTAGGTCAATGTTAATTTAGCCTAAAATGTTGCATCTAGCATACATTTAAAAGAAGACAAATCTATGTATAAAATATATCATCAGACTTTTAAAATACATATAATAGTGTGGGGTTTCAAATTCTTGAGCTGTTTTAGTACTTTAACTCCTATTGATTTTCTTTAGTAATCTTGATGAAGGACAGATGTTCCTTTTTAATGAATATTGTGCACAGACAAGCCTATGTACTGTATAAAGCATACCTCTAGAAAGTAAAACCATTCCTTCCCTGTTTAGTATTGGTAGGACTAAATATAAACTTTAGGATTTGATGACAGGTTATAAAAGAGCAAACAATAACTGCTCTATATCATGCCTGAAGTGCTGAATATCTAGGATATTTTATTCTGAATTATGCAGTACTCAAAGTCACTTCTGCTAAAAAGGTGCTTTGTTTTTGTTGCTGCTTGGTCTACCACAGGCTTCCAAGTATTGCATATTTTTTAGTTCATGTTTTTAGTGAAAACAAAACAAAAGTAAATGTAGTTGCCAGATGTGATTTTCTACTATGTGCATAGCAGTGGTGGTATTGTACGGGGGAGAATCAAAAAGAAAAAGGCAAAATATATTTAACGGCTTTAATGGAAGTAACTGTGAGCACTTGAACATATCACTTTTTCACATAGTCCCCATGCAGAATGATGCATTGTTGCAACGTTCAACTAGCTTCTGTATTCCTGCACAGAAGAAGCTTTTCAGCCAGGTGTGCACCGCTTCCTTTACTTCATCATCTGAGGTAAACCTGTGACAGTGGAGCGACAAGGTCAGCGGACCGATCATGTTATAATCACTTGGCTCAAGATCCGGTCTGTAAGGAGGATGTGGAAGATATTCAAACGTTCTTCATACCATCTATAGAACTGGGTTGCAACCTCCACACACTGTTGCTTGTGTGTGGGAACCCATTGTGAGTATCCCAAGTCATCAGGCACCATGGCAAATGCAGATCTATTGATGGTGCTATTACTTTACTGAGCCAACATCCGATAGTGAATTTCCACTGGGTTTACTCCCTCTGCCCAAAGAAACCGCACTGCACGTTGTTCTTCAATGTTGCAATCTCAGCAGAGCGTTCAGGTTTCTGTCCACGTGACTATCACTCGACGAAGTCCAAGGGCTGTACTGCAGATGGTCAAACTATCCAACAAGCTATGTAAATATGCTGCTTTGCGCAAACTTCTTTTTTTTCCTGTTACCGCGTAATTTATATATGCCTTTACTTTTTGATTTTCCCTCATACCTTAAAGGAGAACTATGGGGTCAGGGCTTTTCCACATAGTTCTCCTAAGGGTAATGGGAGGACACAAACTAGCATCCTCCCGTCACCCTAAGCTCAGTATACAGCGAGCTGCAGCTCGCGGTATACTGAGACGCAGCAGCCGGGATGGATCCCGACATTACTGTCAAGATCCACCCAGCTGCAGGATTGACAGCTGACTCTGCCTATCTAGAGGCAGAGCCAGCTCTGCCCTCCCCCGTCAGCACTGGAGGATCAGACAGGGGAGGGGGGAATCCCTGCAGGAAGCCATGAGTGACAGTCACGGCTCTCTGCAGGGATAGATCGAGAAGTGAGCGAGCGACGCTATGTGTTCGCTCACTAACCGATCTATTGAGCCGACCTGTGACGGTTTCATTGTCACAGGTCGGCTAGAACTATGAGGCTGAGTGATTTTTTCGCTCGCCTCATAATTCTCCTTTTAAAGGAGTTCTAAAGTCACAGTATATACTAGCCTGTTATAACATCAATACAAATACATACTATAGTTATTAATGATGCAGTCAAAACCTATTTGAAAAAAAAATTGTTTTTATGTAGTGAGTGCTGCCTTCTGTCTGTCTGCCCATCACTTTTAACAACTTACTGGATTCCCAGTGTGCTCTACATCTCTTTCTGTGCTGCTTGATGTGATGCAATCTCAATTTCTCAAGACTACATAGCCCATAATGCATAGCCTTTAAAGTTGAAACCAGGGAAATAGCTAAATATACTGTGGTATGTATGTATATGTATGATAAGCCTATCCCTCTGTCACTCAGCTCTTTCCTTACACTTGATGCTTTAAAAATACACTTAAAGTGACATTAAACCCTCAGATTTTTTAACATAAAACAATACTGTAATGTGTACCTTACTGTAATCCATGGTTGTTTCCCTTCTCTTTGCTGCTCTTCCTTTTAAATCTGTATCTTTTCTCATGCTGGGCAGAACTTCTGTTTTGCAGCAGACTGCCTTGTCTCTGGAATGGATACATGGTGTTTGTGTGTAGGTTTGCAACCTGAGCCAGCACTACAGGAAGAGGCACTCAGCTGCAAAGGGAAGTTCTCCCCAAGCATGAGAAGACATGAGGATTTAAATGGAAGAGCAGCAAACAGAAGGGAAACTACCATGGATTACAGTAAAGCACACATTACAGTATTGGTTTATGTTAAAAATCTGAGGGTTTAATGTCACTTTAATGATTTATTTACTAAACATAAACCTGGTATTTATCTGCCTCTGCTTAAGCTTTAATATGCAATCAGTCGCATTAATGCCTAATAAGGAATTTGAAATAAAGATAGCAGCTAATAATGAGATGGTAGCAAAGGTAATGCTCAGTAACCAGCAGGAAAAATGACATTTTGTTCCTAATACTTCTCTTGTTCCCTGGCCATCTAGGAGAGTTTTTATATAGATATATAAATATTAATTCATGTATTGTCCTGTCATGTACATTTAACAATACTTTGTATCAACTAAGCAGTATCTTCCTATACTTAAACATTATTGGCTCATTTTAGAAAAAGAATCCTTATTTTCAAAACAGAAAACGTGAGATTTGAAAATTACAATCACATGGCTAAAATAAAGATTCTTACCCTTGTGTGTTAGCTTTGTAAATTGGGCCTTATGTAACTATATTAATCATTCTTATTGATTTTTTTTTATCAATATGTTAGAATTTAAAAATTCAAGCTAGCATTACAAAACGTTTTAGCTAGAGAATGTTACTTAAGTAAGCTGACCAAAAAAAACAAGTCAGCCGTGGTCCTAAAATGACTTGCAGATGCCTATCAATATTAGCTTCCCCAAGAGAGCAACTGGTAGAAAATGGCAGATATCTGTAGGGCTCTTAAAATAACTTTGACTTTGTTTAATCACTAATAAGAAAGAGTTATTTGATTTTTGTTCTGAGCACAAATGTAACCAATAAAAAAGTATCTATAATTTAGGCTCCTGTATGTCTGAAATGAGTGGGGGGGTTTTGTGGAGTACGATCTTCAAAATAAACAACCAACAAAGCTAAGTCTGTAAAAAAGTGTGAAGTATGGCCACCACAGAAACATATGCCTTTGTAAGACTTAAAGCCCAATAAATGTCTGCAAGCTCTCTTTTTTTTTTACTGCTAAGTTCTAAAGAGAATCTGTCATAATAATAAATGTCCACACTACACATACCTGCAACAGACTCTAACACCTTGCTTTTATGGCCTTTCTAAAGGGGAAAGCTTGGCACCTTCTGATGGTGCCAAAACTTCTCTGATTTCAGTTGGTCAGTGAGGTAGCCAATGGTAGTGATTGTCCAATAGGAATGTGTGGGACTGGAAGTAGCAGGAGGTTGCAACACTGTCCAGAAGTCATAGATTTGCCTATGAGAAAATTCAGGGAGTCAGCCAGAAAAGCAGGGCTTACAGGTTGCTGCAGGATTATGCAGGCACCTCTGTGTGATGGTACTTTATACCTGTAGCATTGTTTTTATGATAATATTTTGTCTTTTTAGCGATGATTGTTTTATCATCTTTGAGGCCTACTACTTTTTGTGCATTACTTATCCGCCAGACAGATGGCTGTAACATGCCTTCTTCTGCCATTTCTGGGTTTTAGAGAGATTGTACCTAAGGTATCAATTTATAAAGGCTTCTGGCAGTTCTATTAGGTTCAAGCAAACCATTGATCATTTTTTTTTTAATCTTTCTGCTCGCACATGCATAGTGTATGTAGGGTAAGTTCTTCAAATAACAGCACATATTAAACCATTGCTTAATTAACCGGCTTCTTTTTTCTTAATCAAATTTGCTTAACCAATGGACTAAAGGAAATCTCCTGAAAGAGTTCCAATACTTCTAATTACCATCAAGACATATATATTTTGCAGTTAAATGCTGCATTAGTGCATTTTTTAGTTGTGTGACAATTTTAGTTTAGATGACCCGTGCATGGATAGAGCTTCAACAAAAGTTGAGATCTGCCAATGAAAGTGTGATGATAAAGATCAGTGTACTACTAACCTATCATAACTTCTGAATTGTATGTGTTATTGTTAATAGACGTGGAGTAAAAAAAAATCTCCTTTTTATCATGGAAACATGTTTCTTGCAGGGTTTTGTAAAATTTCTACAACCAATAACAGAATAGTCTGTTCACAACTACATGACACAATTATTTTGCAATATTAGAGACACCCTTTCACTATGATCATTTTTTTCATTTGCCTACTGTGTGGAAATTCACCGTTACATTGGTAGCCTTTTTCGTTTTATAGACATCTAATATATCTTGAAAATGCAAAATGTGGGATGGTGTTCTCTCAATCAAATATATATGCTTACCTTGACTTGTTCTGTTGTATTTGGCATTGTCAATGTATAGATGCCATTTGACGTCAATCCTGATTTAAAGGCTTCTGCACAGTCTTTAAAAGCTAATTGTTCTTCTTTAGCAACAAATGATGATCTTGGTGCTTTGAGAAAAACGGAAAGATTTAGAAAAATATCTAGCGTATACTTGCTGTATTATTTATTTATTTCAGGTATTTCTATAGTGCCGACAATTTACCCAGCACTTTACATAGTTGCACATTCACATCCAAGTAGCTTACAATCTCAGGTCCCTATCTCACATTTATACATAGAGGGCCAATTTAGAAATGAGCCAATCAGTCTGCTCATAATCTATGGCAGGGAGTCCAAACATATGCACTGCCACACAGCCCACCAGCTCCTAGGAAAGGGAAAGATCCCTCAATGTAGAAGTGGATGGAGAGGACCAAGTGCACCTTTTATTGAAAGTTTTTTCCAACACTTAAAGCTGTTTTTATACAATAGTTAATTTCAGTTAGAGCGGCACAGAAACACACCAGAGAAGATAATTATGTATTTTGATTAAAAAGATGCTAATGGAAATTATGCATATGTTTTTTATTCAAAAGCTAAAGTTGTATCTTTAAAAGCTGAGAGCCGTTTTTGTTTGCAGTAAAACTACCTAATAATCTTTTCATAATCCTGTGTAAGGAAAACAAATGCATTCTACTTTTTTTCATTTTACTTATTTTAGTGTTTGGAGAAAATTGCTTCCCTTATCAGTTATATCAGCTAAACCAGGTAGATTTCCCTTTTTTAAGTTTAATTTTCTTTTAAATAAATATTAATGTCATTTTATTGGTATCTATCTACCAGTAGCTGCCTCATTTCCCACCCTCGGCTTATATTCGGGTCAATACTTTTTCCCAGTTTTTTTTGCTAAAATTAGGTACCTCGGCTTATATTCGGGACGGCTTATACTCGAGTATATACGGTAAATGTCTGATTTGCTTGCAATTTGCAATGTATGTAGTATTGCTTTTGTTTTTCTGGTGCTGACGTACAATGGTTTACAGAATACATACGGTGTCCACATCAGTCCCTACTCATGAAGCTTACAATGCAATATCTCTACAACAATGGCAGATGCCAGTCAACTAGTATGGTTTTTTTGGGAGGAAACACAAACTCTGTGTGGATTGCATTCTATGGAAGCCCAAAACTGCAGAGTTCTCCACTAATAATTTCTGTGCAACCATTTTTATGTCCTAAACACTGTAAGCTGCCTGAATTTTCTAGTTTTTCTAGTTTTATATCAGATGGCATAATTCCTGAACAGCTCCTGAAGGTTAATGTGCATCTTAATAAATTCTGTTGGTACCTAAAAGAGTTAATTAATGAGTTTTATTGGTCATGCAACTATGCAATTGTAGATAGATTAGTATTCTGCACTCATGGTATGAAAAACAAAAGGTCTTAACAAAAGTTTAATTGTTTTGCTCTCCTGGTAGCTCTTGAGCAGTCTACATCTGATAAACTGACTTAAAAAGGGGGAGGAAAGCTCTGATTTTAGTTAAAATAAAACATCTTGAAAAAATCAGGAGGAAATCATAATAGACTTTGAAACATGGTCACATGATCCATTACCACACAGGTGGCATGGATCATGTGACAAGTTCACGTTATGGCATTGGGAAAGCTGATGGGTTTTTAAAATTTATTTTTCTGCTTTAAATAAATATCAGTATCTAACGGGGCACAATGTCAATTTCTAAATTTAATACCCATCTGTCCCTGGAAAGTATTATGTGCTTAAGTTTATGATCCAAAGTTGAAGAACACTTGAAATAACAGTTTTGTTATTGTGCTAAGCTAATCTCACTTGGTATTTTTCCAGAAAAATATAACGGCTCGATCCAAAATGTTGTTTTCACCAGACAATTAAATTTTTCTGTGGCGATTTCCTTTAAAGCCTTTGCTTACAAAGGATTTCAGATGAGAAATGGGACATGTTTACTTGGATACATAGCAGATACTTTTAAAGATGACCTTTTATAGAGATCTTTGTTAAGGTACAATGATTATTGTTCCTCCTTCTGTTTTATGTTTGACATGGAACAATTGGGTATGGAAATGCAGTGAAATTTGGATGAGAATTGATAGGGCATAAAAGTGAAAAAACTGGTAAAATACAACAAGAGGTTACTAAGTTTAGGGTGCTATACACATTATCATTTTATAGCTATAT